TTTCACGTGAAATGTCAAGATGTGAAAAATGAAAAGTAAAAAGTGAAAAATGAAAAGTGAAAAATTTCACGTAAGTTACATGATTGACCCCCTTGAAACATTTCTCGTGAAACTTTTCACGTACAGCGATTATGTATGTAGCGTGGATGCGAAGAAAGTGAAATCAAGAAACATAGTTTCATTCAGATTTTATAGCTAATGAAAATTATTTTATTGGTACAGTATTATATACATCTTTTAATAATCAATTGTATATGTATTACGTACACTTAATCCTAACGCAGCCCTAATCTTCTCTAATTCCGAAGCATACTTATTAATTTCCTAGATTTCCGCCTTTCCGCCACCAAGGTACATGGCGAAAAAGTTCATGTGAAAAATTTCACATTTTCACGTTTGAAAAAGTTACATAATCCCGCAAAATCGTATATGATCGTAAGTTCACGTGAAACTTTTCACTTTTCACGTTTCCGCCCTAGGGGAAAAGTTACATGATCGACCCCCTGAATGCAGCCTATAAGAGAAAATATAATTGAGTACAGATACATATCTGCACTGTAAATAAGAAGTAGATAATCATTTTAGATCAAGTCGGAGTTAGCCCGTCATTCCTGCCGATCCTTAAAGAATCTTACAATTGCAAAACTGCTTTTTCTGCTAAACGCAGACATTCTGTCCACATGTTTATAATTAAAGTAGAATCACCGGATTGAAGCTTCGATGAAAACTAGACCATGATGTCGTTAGCGCCACGCGGACATTAAGTGATCATCGTGATCATCGAATAGTTTTCTTTACTGAGAGCTGATTACAAGTTATGTTTTATATTCGCTTAATTATTTACTCTCTTTCTTTTTATAATTAAGTTTTTTTACATTTTGTGCAAGAATGCAATTCCAATGTTATAAATACTGATATTTAATTACTTAATATATAATTGGAAGATAAGTGGTGAGTATATTGGATTATTTAAATATATTTTTAAAAAATAATAAAAATACAATGAATAAGCAGAGTTTATTTTCAAAAGTTATATTTTCACTAATTATATGTATATTATTAAACAAATTTAATATTTACAGAAGCATTTGTATGTATATACAGATTTATCATTGATGTCGTCAAACTTTCTGATACAAGAACTTCCCACCAAAGTATTGTTTAGAAATGTCAATGGAATACAGCTAACGCTAGAACAGAAAGCAAGCTCGAATCTATCAAATGCTAATATCATAAACTTTTCACTGCAAAGCAAAAGACATTTTGATGTCAGTTTGTTTTTAGCATTAGTATGTATAATTCCCTTTATATGGGTTATATCAGGAAGTTTAATTTCTCTGATCATATCATTATGTATTTTGATACTGCAATGTAAATCATTTATCACTTCCATCAAAGAAGGTAAAAATTTTTATTTTTAATAAGAAATTAAGTTTTTAACACAGGAACTATTTTGAAAAGAAAGGAAATTGTAATTTATATATTATAATTTATATATTCATATTTTATAGATACGTTATTGGTTGTAGAATCAGTAGGTATACATATTGAAAGTAAAAGAGGATTTGGCATTTTTACATCGATAGAATTTTTGCCATGGGATACAGTTGAAGATATATTTATGAATGAAGTCATAAAAGGAGTAAGTTTATATATTTTTTCTATATATGTATAGTTGTAAACTAAAAATAAAGTGATTTAAACTTCCAAATAATTGATTTTAGCAAAAGGTACTTTATTGTCTTACATTTATTGTAAAAGAATCAGTTGGTAGACAAAATTCAATAAGATTAGTTCCCTTGTTTCAAGATTTATTACCTGAAAGAAAATGCCTGGAATACATGTACGAACGCTTAGCCAACTTGATTGGCTCGACCAAGAGAAAGAATCTCTGTTAACTATTCCTGGCTCTTATTGGTTATGTCACAAAAAAAATATATACAAGTTTATCTTTAGATATCATCGTACAATGAAGTAAGTATAGAAATATATAGAAAGTGTTATTAATGCTTTTAAAGATGTTTATATGTATGAATCAGACATATTGTCTCTAGATATTTATACATTTCATGACATTTTTAAGATAATTTTAAAATAATTAAACGTAATTTTTATTTTTTGAAAGTTTTTACTGATTACTTTTCAAAGAGGAAAGTATCAATAATGTATCTTAACCATTTTTGAAAATTATGTTTTTTTCCAGAAACACCATGCAATTTTCGTATGGGCGAGAATTACTAAAAATTATTAGAAGAATTATAAAATGTAATCCAACGCAAGGTCAACAATTTGGCACACAACATCTTCTTGTTACTTACAGTATCCTTTTCTTGTTTTTATGAGGATTTTTTTTTCTTGAGAAGCAAGACTAATTTTAAATGTATAAATTCCTTTAACATAATGAAAAAATACAGATTGTACATCTTGGACTCGACAAGATAAAATGTTTGCGATATTGAAATTCCAGCAACGAACTAATGCTGCAGCATTTTCGCATGCATTTGTATTAACTATAAAGATTTACCCATCGGAACATTCATTATTTGATTTAAAATATCCCATTGTTAAAGAAGCTGGTGCAGGTTCTACATTTAAAGATTTGAATGTTCCCTTGGATACTGAAGAGAAAATTGATAGTACTATAACATCTGCCATTGATAAAGTGTCTTCAAGTAAAACAATATGTCAAACTAAAAAAATAGATCAAATTTCAAAATATAATAGTGAGATCAGGTTAAATGAAACAACAATAAATTCTAATTTTCAAAATGATAACATCAAAGACTCTACAATCTTCCATGACAGTACAGATAAAAAAATTGAAAGTGCTACGACTATAACTGAAGCGCATTTTGATAATAGACAAGATACAGAATTTTATAACACTCGAGAAAGTAAATCTACAAATTGTAATTCTGAAAAATGGGAAAAAAAGATAGAACAACATTCTCTTGACAGTGTACAAGAACAACAATATATAAAAGCAAACAAGATAAATATTGAAATAAAAAAAGAAGATACAAGTGAGGGGAAAGAAACACAATCGATAATAATACAGAAACAAGAGTTAGATGTATTGGATATCCAAAACTATGAAATATTTTCTTCATTAAAACCTCTTACGGAAATAAAGAAAGATAATGCCAACGAATCGCTGTTATCAAATAAACTCAATTTTGATAAAAAATTAATAGAAAAAGATTGCATTCACACTATCAATAACAAAATTAATTTAGATAACAAAGAAATGATCAATAAAGATATTGTAAACTCTAGCAATGTATTATACCAACATGTCATTGAGAAAGAAATAGAGACTGCAGAACACAATTTAACTGTTGATGAAACAATACGAAATAATCTACAGACCGAGATAAAGAATATAAATAAAGATTATATTCCAAACATGAAAATAAGTAATAAGTCTGAATATACAAAACAGAGAGATTATTGTAATGAAATAACAGATATAAAATCTAAAGAAAATGATAAGCGGCATACTAACATTTTAATGGATATAGATGATAAACAATCACAAAATAATATGTATAATAAGTTATATAAAGCTCGTAAACAGAAAAGTAGGGAATCCGAAAGAAAAATCGTACCCGATAAAGTTATGCGTTCTTCTAATATTACCGATTTAGTAATGGAAGGTTTAATGTTTACTATACGACAAGATCAAGATAGCGTAGCCGTTATTGAACAAAAGACAAAGTTAGAAATGGATGAAGTTTTAGAAAATTCTGAAAAAGTTGAAACAGAAGCTGGAGGAAAATGTTTATTAAATTCAAGCTTATTGAGATTGGAGAATTTAATAACAATGATCGATTCTCCACGCAATAAAGACGACCAACATAAAAATCCCCATGAAATTAATGGTGCAAATTTATTGCCATGTAACGTTTTCCCTAGTGATACTGTATATAATGTAGATATTAATTATGTAAAAAATTATGCAAAAATGGATAAATCAAGTATTTCTTATGATAGATGTAACGCAAATCATTTAAATCTGTATCAGTCACAATGGCAGAATCAATGCGTTTCCTCTAGCATTAAAAATAATAATAATTGTTTTAGTGAAATGGAATGGCAAAATAATGACAATAAGCAAGATGAAAAATTTAAAAATGACATTGAAATGAGAAAACAAGAAAAAGGTATTATACCTGAAAAAATAGATAAATATGATCAATTGATGACATATTATAGTCCTTCGCTACCATATTCTCCAAGTAACATATTTTTAAATCCAAGTAAGATGTCTACAAAAAATATTTCTATAACGTCTGAAGAATCTAGTTTAATTAAATTACCTCAACAGAAGACAAATATACCAAGAATAATTTCAGATAAGACTATTACCATTGAGCAAATGCCATCAGCCTTGCAAAAAGTTTTACGACATAAAACAAACAGATTTCCCTCAACAATTTGTAGTGAAGCATTACAACATGAACAGAAGGTACAGAATGTGACATTAACGGACAGCACAAATTCCGAAATAGGTATCTTATCAGAAGAAAAATTTGTAGCTTCCGATATAGCTGATCTATCGACTACCAAATTTTCAATTGATTCTGAAAAAATAAATGATGAAAGATCTTGTGTAATCAATAAAGATGCTGCGGAATCCGACAGAAATATACATGTGAAAAATTCAACAGGGGAAAATAAGATTCCTCACACTTTACAAAGAGATTTATCATCAAAGCATGGTTTGCCAAGAAAATTACAGGACATTACAGAGGAGTTTTATTACGATTTGTTACATATACATAACAAAGACAATGCCATTCGACAAAAATGTCTCAGACAAAAACAAAAATCTTTAAATAATCTCGATAACATTAAAAATGGCAAAGTACGCATAGAAATGTTAAAATTCATTCAGGATATTACGGATGGTGCTAGAGTAGTAGTGACGCGGCTGAATATAAACAATAAATCCAATTCATTAGGAAAAAATTCTAATTTAATTTAATGTATACTCATTAAAAATTTTATGCGGAAATTTATAAGGAAATAATTTAATTGTATGTTTATTTAAATTTCACCATGTATTATATTTTCTAAATTATATAATGAATTATAGAATATAATTATTTCAGATTTTGTTAGCTTCTTATTATCCTAATTCTAATTAAATAAACATGCTATTATCATTAATGTGTAATACATTCAAAATTCTTGTCTAAAATCAGGACCTCAATAAATGATTTCACGAATGAACAGATATTAATGCAAAGGATGACACTAGGAAAAATTTCTAAAGAACGACAGAACATAGATTAATTTTATGAAAAATTTATTATATGATTTTACAATCAATATTTGAGGTAGCAAATTCTATTTAGTGAACATAAACAAATTGCATATACAAAATACATAAAAGTAAAAAGTAATCATTGAAGATAAAATAGTTTTATGAAGTTTAACACTTGTAACGCTAATGGAATTATAATGGTAAAATATAAATCATAGTTGAAAATTAACCGTAATTCCACAAAGAACTTTAATTATACAATGACTTGGAACATAACATTTTTGTATTACATATTTTAGTATTTGTATTTGAAATTCATTCTTAATAAGTATCGCACTTTTACTTGAGCCACGTCGTACACGATGTACTCATTATATAATAATGCAGAATTTTTGTTAAGATTAGCAGGTACTCCCTTTCCATAGGGCACTTCAACACCATCCTCTGTTTTATAGACATCTTGCGGATCGGGTTGTGTCTGACCACGACCCAGCGTCGAATGTTTTCCTTTCGGTAACTTCTCAATATAATCAGCTTGATACCTTTCATATGTGTTACCCAAGGCAACTTCACAAAGCAGCAACAAACCTGTTGGATTCTGACTATGTGTGCAGCAATAATTTGCAGATTTTGACACCATATCAGCGAAATATATACCCTTGCCAAACATGTAACCAGTAACAGGCGCTTCTGGTGGTGCAATACGCAAACCCTGAGATAATATTCCTGCATAATTCGTAGTTCTGGATCCGTGCCAAAGCAGCTTCCTGTTGGGCAATTTCTTGAAAGGCTTGAACCTCTGTTCTTCACCCTGTCTCTTGACAACAAATACTTCCTCAATCTCGAGATCGTATTGTGTATGAGTAGCCGCATGAGTATTCTTGACATATTTTTCAATCATCTTGAATTCCTTGCTAGTTTTATCCAATACTTCAATGTCAGTCTTCAACTGTTTGTAATGACTGTCAAGCGGATTCTCCTTCTCGTTGGTCTTATCACACAAAAGATTGTATGCGATCTCCATCTCCAGCAATGCATCCAGCATATCGCATTTGCTCTGAATCTCTTCCAATGTTTCGAGGATTTTTGGTCCGGAAATTCCAAAATTGTGTGGTATCAATGTATAAAATCTGTTGGATGAATCGATCAACATAGTGCGATCTATGTTACTTTTCTTCAATATTTCCTGTAATTCTGTTAAAACAGCGTAAGCTTTTTCAATTTGTTTTTTGGACAATTTTCCGAGCGGCATTTTGTCCATGTCTATCTCAAATTCTAACATAACTTTTTTCATCTCAGCTACATCGAAAATAAGGCGTATGAGATCCTGAATTGATTTCTGCAAATTACTTTTGATGTCCGAATCTAGAGAAACAACCTCTTGATCTCCATGATCTATATCGATCGGATACATCAAATTTGGTACTTTAACAAAATGCTCCCTATTTTTCCATTGATTACCCGTCTTTTCCTCATATAACGATTCAAATTGATCAATACACTCTTGCAAATTCATTTTCTCTAATTTTTTACCGCCAATCGTGGTACCAATCCGGCCCCAACTTCTAAATAAGTGATATCTGTCACAGTTGTCGTCTCTCAGAATTTGCATCTTGTAGTAACTATTCTTTTTTGATTGTATGTCTGTTAGACCTAACGTCACGGTGTACTTATCTTTGCCTTTTTGATAAATATGCGCCTGGTTTTCTAAACCGCTATCAGGATCAACAGCACCAGCGCCTTTTACTTTTACTTTCATTTTACCAGAACTTGATTTTTCAAATCTGCTCTTACTTTTGGAGGCACCCGATTTTGCAATAACATTAGAAAGTCTAGCATTAATATCGCCACCCCAGCTGGAGATAGTCTTCTTTTTTAGAAGCATGATGGGAGCATCTGTATACTCTTTTGCTTCTTCTATAAAATCTTCTGTAATTACTTGAATGTCATATGATTTAACATCTTCCATTCTTTTATTCATCTTTTCCACTTCATTCTGATTTGAAATTACAGCAGTCAAATCTTGATGAATTCTGGTTGTAACAGTACCACCTAATAATAAAATTTCTTTCTTTAGTTCTTCTTTATCCTTTTGTGTTCGGCCTAGTATAACAAATTGCATGTTCTTCAGAGGACGTGGTTTTCCTTGTATTTTTGGTCCATCTGCTGTATCTTCCTCTTTTTTAATAGAATTCGATGAAAGTATCACTTTAAATATTCGTTTTTTTACCTTGGATTTGTATGACCTAAAAATAGATCACAAAATCAATAAATTTTTATAGTTATATTTATTAATATTAAAATAAAAAAGTTTGCAGTATTAATCAATTCAATTAATTTTCATTCATATTATCGAGTGTAACAACTTACTTAATTGGAAAATCTTTCTTCATATTACTTGGTATTTCACATTTTTTTCTTTTCGGATCTTGTGTAACATATTCGCATTTAGACCATTCTGTTATATTACCAGTGCATTTATAGCCCAAACCAGAATTGTATATGAGTTGTCCTTTACATTTTGGACAAGGTTGTAAAGCTCCAAAATATAGTATATCAGATAAAAGATTAACAATCTATAAAAATGATTAAAGTGATATATATGACAAATCTATTTTAATCATGCAAGAAATAAAATATGCACTTCAAGGAAAAGAATCAAGCGTCGCAACATAAATATAAGTTATAAACTTACATTTGAAGTGCCAGTTGGAATTTCTTGATGGTTTTTTCCAATAATGCAATCATTTCTTTTTTTCAAGGCTTGATATTTGATCTTTTACAGCATACAATTCTTCATTTTGCTTTGTTATTAACTTTGTCTCTTCTGCATCTTCTGGTTCATCCTTAATCTTTTTAGGAGGCGGTATATCACCCTGAGTCATTTTACGCAATGAATTCTTGATATTTGCTTGATCCTCTTTTGAGAGATCTTTGAAACCTAGAAGCTGATCTCCACTCCCATAATATCCCAAATCCATTCTGAGTTTTACAAAACATTCCACATGATGCCATCTATCAAATCCACCAAATCTTCTAGCATCATCACTCTCATAATCTTTCTTTGATATTCTTACTTCGCCTTTAATTATTTTTTCTTCACATCCTTTGCAGGTGGATTTACTAGATTTAGCATATTCCACTTTAAAATCTCCATCACCACCAGCTCCACCACCCTTTGTTCTCTTCCTCGCTTTTCCAGATGATGGAGCAGGTGTATTATGAGATTCCTCTGTATATGAAAATACAAGAAAAAACTAGAATAAACTAATTAATATTATATTTCTGTTCTATCTCAAGTTATGTACCGACCAACTTTCTTTCGAATTTCATCTTGATCTTCATTGCGAATCTCGTCAAAGCATGCTATATCAGCAATGGATTTTGGCCTTTGTTTCGAAAAGAAACACTTGAAGTGATACCATCTAGGTATTTTCCCATCATGAACAGGACTCTAAAGAAATCATCAAACATTTTTGTAAGATTTCTTTTATATCATAAAAACATGAAGAACAGCTTAGGAAATAAAATCAGAATCTCTTAACTTAATGAATAAATTATTAGATTCACTTAACATTTGTTGGTTAAAATATGCATAAAGCAATAAAAAAACAAAGATTAATTTTACATGTAAAATGTAAAAAAATCATTAATCAGTAATGTAGAAATGTTTACATATTTTCTTTATAACCTAACCCAAAGAATAGAAGATGTGATATTCTGCAAAGAGAAAGCAACTGCATACCAATAATTCAACATGCGTTGCTGATATTATCATGTAGATAACATAATTATTCCGAAATGACACCATCAGGTGCGTTATCATTATATAAGACCGATAGTCCAAATGAGATATAAACGAATCCGAATATATACAACGACGATTCCTTAAATTGCTGAATGTATTTCGCCGTTAATCGCGGAAATGCTGAGATACAACGACGAGCGCGGTTTCTTCCTAACGGCGAAATTTTAGACGCCTACCTGAACAACGGCGGCGAGCCTCAGGCTCTGCTTGCTGATAGATTGTTTACATAATTGACATTTAGAACGATCGCTCTTCGCGTATTCCACTCGATACGGTAAATCGTCGCTCATCTCGCTTGATCTCGCCGACTATCACCTCGAATGGGAAATCAACGACCAACAACGCGCCTTCCGCGACAATGCCGGCTAACGCTACGCGTGGCGCTGACACACCGGTCACGATCGAAAGTAACGGCAGGTTTCGAACGTACGCACGCTACGACTTGGTACAGATTTCTAGTCAGTTGTAATACTTGTGTATCGTGACTATTAATTATAATTAAAAAAACATGATTTTTAATCGACTAGTTCTAATTTTATCCGGATTGTTATTTATTTCTAATTCTCTTGCGCGTCTGATCTTTCGTAAATGTCAAATAGAAACTGCAACACAGTTAATTTTCCACTTCTTTTTAAAGTAGTTTATTTTTTAACATTTTTAAACATCTTTTCAGAATTTAATTTAAATTTAAAATTATAATAAAAAACTTTTTTAAATTTGCATCAAAAAGAGAATTTGTTTTGAGTGTAACACACGCATGCGTGCGTACATTGCAATATTTTAATATAAATACTGGAGTATTTACGATGGTCTAGTTAGATGTATTTTTAAAAAATAATAAAAAAATAAAATGCAAAATATGAATGTGGGATTGCATAAAAAGAAAAAAATAATAACTGCCTCCTGTGAGGTTTGAACTCACGACCCCTGGTTTACGAGACCAGTGCTCTACCACTGAGCTAAAGAGGCTTCAGATTATCGTAGTGTTAGAAGGACATAAACCTTTCTTTATCAAATAATAAAGACAAAAAAAAATAATAATTTTTGTAAAAATAATTTTTCTTAAAAATTCAAAACTGTATTTTTAATAGATTTTAACAGATACATTTGTTTACATTTTTATTATGGCTAATTGAAAAACAGACAGCTTTTGTTAGTTCACATTTTGTGTACTCGTAATTGAAGCTAAATTATTTAATGCAACGAAAAATTGGCAGCTATGAAATTTTTTTATTAAAAATTAAAAATGTTTTATAAAACGCATTAAACGTAATATAAAAATAAAAATGGAGGTCTTCAAAGATTAAAATCAGTTTGATCGAGAAGACAATTCCTGGGACATATGAAATGTCCTTTAAGTTGATCCGAAGTTTGTGAAATTTAATCTATTCTATTTTCTAGATTACATTCCAAGTGATAAATTATCGTTCGGGAATTCCGAGTTGAAAAGTTTGCATATCGAACAAATTTATCGCGTCAGACATTTTGTCGTGATGATGCTTCACGCGAAATGCAATCTCCAGAGATTTTCCTCAAGGCCTGGCGACGCACGTCGACAAAGATAAAGCACCGGAAGATGATAAAAAAGCTATCACTCGTATGTCAACGGAAACTGTGTTCCCGCTCTCAGTTACAAGAACTTGCAACCCCAGATGGGAAGATGGAAGAGTCATTTATGTCATTATGTCTTTACCGCGCTTAATGGCGCAAATTCAATTGTCTTTCATCAAAATCTTCGCATAGTTTTATTATCATATTGTGATCAGTGTGAAATATCAAAATTGCATGCCGGAAATATTTAAAATAAGCTCGTGTATATTAATTTGAAGTAAAGACAATATTCACTTCTGATGTTTGTTTTTGAAATAACGAAGATGAAGTGTTCTTCAATGATATGGATGTTATTTTTTATCTTCGGCCAGTGCATTATTTACTCTTGGCAGGTGCCGAGTAAGCAAAAATAATAAAAATAATTTTTATATAAAAAAAAAATAATAAAATTTGGAAAAAGTAGGATGGACAATTGTGACATACAGTGAGCGTAATATTGTGACACTTTCTTGCAATAAGATCAATAGCATGTTATTCTTTACAGTGGCTTTTGTGAACAAATATTTATCTAAGAATTTGAACAATTTTATCACAAAATATACACGCTTATCATAAATTACATATGGTGCATTTATGTTGCACCACATGTTTGCGGAACAAATTTTGGAGATGCTAATTTAGAAACAGAGATTAATAATTGCATAATGAAATTAACTGCACTAATTGCGTTGTTATCATACAGCTGATCGCGACATGGAAAACTTGACAATAAAGTCATCCCGTTGCCGTAATATATTATTCGCATTTCTCTTATTCGTCTTTATTTTATTTTATCTCAGTGTGATTATTAATCCTATTAAAAGATACTTGCGATACAACTGCAGTTTTTTGGAAAGAAATTTATTTCTTTGTTGTAACTATCCTCATGGATTTGAATAGAATTGAATCGATTTGTTAGGAAATCGATGCACCGTTAAATTTTGTAATATTCGTTTTGTTTTCAGCGCGATTTGAGTGTCCCACGTTGCGATTGAATAACGGAAGAATTCGCTATCGAGCACGAGGTCGAATCGTAAGGTTTAGCTGTCTTCAGGGATTCAGTCTCGTAGGTAGCAGGTATTCTTCATGCATACATGGCCAATGGGACACGCCTATTCCCGTGTGTGTGAGTAAGTAAAATTTAATGTAAGAAATAAAACAACGTAATCGACAAAATAGCCAAATGCTGTAACGCGATGTCGAATTGTAACATCGCTGAATTTCTTCACGGTTGATTCGGTTTTAAAATAATTTAAATATTTTAATTAATTTTTTACAATACTTTAATTAATTTTTTACATTCAATTGATCTTTAGATGCAGGAGCAACGGATACTTTTAATAAAATATTTGACAATATTTTTTTTAATTGTAAAAAAAAGCAAATGTTTTACATCTATAAATATATTTTCATTTTTTAAAATTTTTATTATGCCAGATGCAAAACGATGATAAATATTTTAATTAAAATATATTAAAATAAAATGTGATACAGACGCACACCAAGACAAAGTGTGCGCAATGACAGAAAAGTGCGATAAAAAATGGTTGCATCATAATAGCTTGTATTTTTATTTTTAATTAATTTTAACAAAAAGTGTTATTGATATGACAGTAAGTAAAAAAGTAATAAATAATAGTGTCTTTAAGATTTAAAACGAAATCATATATAATTCGTATAATTCGTATCTGATACATATTTTTTTTTATGTTTAGGCACGGGTTGCTCTGAACCTTATCTTGTAGCGAATCACACATTTATGGTATCAAAATTGGATGGTGCAATATTAATGTTTTTCTGTGAGCCTGGTTACTTCCTGGTCGGCAGCGCTGAAATTTATTGCGATGGACGCCAATGGAACGAAACGACTCCTTATTGTCGAGGTACTGCAAATCACGTTTAAAAATTTTGCAATCAAATTATTAAGCACAAATATTTTGGAATATTTTAGAAATTTCAATGGCTTAAGCAATTTTTGTTAGTAAAACAATATCATAATCTCTCACTTTATAATATATACGAATAAATTTTTTTTCTTTTTTTACGATACGTAATTGTCTTTCTTTTCTTTCTTTCTCTTACTTAATTTTGATCTTCATTATTTTTTTCTCGTTGTGGAAATAACGTCACAAAAGAATTTTATTTATGTTAATGAAATATCTTTTATAATTAGCGACACAGGCAACCCCGCCGACAAAATGCGATTTTGAAAGCACAGATCTTTGCTGGTGGGAACAGGATCCGCAGCATAATTTCGATTGGAAACGCCATAACTTTGAGACACCAAGTTCGCACGTCGGCACAGGACCGACGCACGATCATACTCTCGGAGTCGGAAACGATGGTATTTTTGAATGATGTCAACATTTTATGCTAGATTATAAAATACAAAGAAAGGAAAAAGACTGAATTTTCAAATTGTGCACACTTGCACTGATTTCAGGCCACTATCTTTATATTGAAGCATCCGGACGATTAATGAACGATACGGCAAGAATCATGTCTCCCTTATATAATTCTTCATTAACTGAATCGGGATGTTTCTCATTATGGTAAGTAACAAATATCATGAAAAGTAAAATATCTTTTTACTTTATATCTTTAGATTTTCATCATTTATATCAGTATTAATCTTATTTCATGTGCTATTTATTTTAAAATATAAGTCAAATTTCTTCAATAAACAAGAGCATTTACAATAGATTTTTAAAGTTTATTAAAATACAATGAAATAAATTAAAGAAAGAAAAGATGATTATTCATTGTGAACATTTCAATATTTAATTCTACAAACACTTATACCTCCTACTTATACATCCTTTTTATTATCCTTTATATTTTACGAATTATTTTGATACAGGTATCATATGTATGGTGCCTCGATAGGCTCATTGAATGTATATTTCAAGCAAGAGAATATTACGAAGCCACTCTTGATGTTCACCAAAAGTGGAAATCAGGGAAATCAATGGATTCGTGGAATTTTTAATCTACCGAAAGCTAATGCCAGCTTCCAAGTATATTTTTTACTTTTTAAAATAATAAAGTTTGGCTTTTGTTTTGGAATTTTATGTATAAAAAAATATTGCGTCGTTATTAAGATATAATGTAAGTAATTAAAAATCTCTGTCAAAGTTTTTATATATTCTTTGCAGATTATTATAGAAGGTGTGCGAGGTAGCAGTTACGTGAGTGATATTGCAATAGACGATATTGCCATTTTACAAGGAGACCAATGTATCGTTAAAAACGAGTCCACTAGTGTAACTATAAGCGATGATGGTAAAATTATTTTTTAAATTAATTATGGAGAATTGAAAGCTAATATAATTTGTAATAAAATAAGTATTGTATGGCAAATGTCATATGATACTCATTTTATTTTCAAAGAAATTTTATTATTTTAAAAAATAATGCGTATAAATTAAATACACGCGCGCGCACGCATACATGTACAATATTTGGAAACATATCTTGATTCAAAGATTTAACTCCACTTTAAATGTTGCTTCTTAATTTTATCTCAATGATTATCTTGCAAGATAGAAACGTACAGAGTATTAAAATTTTTAAATAAATTTGGCGGATATTCTTTCTGACAATCTGATATTGATGTTTTCTTTTATAAAAAATGCATGCATCACATCTATTCTGAAAAATTTATTTCAGATCAGGTCGAAATAGTAAACTCACAACAAACTTGTCGGAACAGATGTTCTTCGTCGGAAAGCGTTGTTTTTTCCACACCAGCCTTTGGCCCGGAGAGTTGCCTTTGCACGATAGATTGTGCAGAACGTTCTATTTGCTGCCCGGATTATGCTGAGTACTGTATTCTAGGTAATCATTTATTCTTTTTATAGGATCCTTGATGGAACGTTTTAATAGAATGCTTAATGGAAGCCGTCAATTCTATGCGGATTGTAAGAGCACTGGATTCCAGCTTCTAGCATGTTATTTAATTTTGCGTGTGAGATTTTCAAGGATTCTTAATTATGATTACAGGAATCGTTTCGGAACGATTCGATGATGTGACAACGGTATCGAGTAATACTACGATTGCACCACTGAAACCTACTACTCTGATAGGCTTTCCCATAAATCCGAAAGACGACATCGACCCAAGTGTGTCCAATTCGATATCGCCGACTACGCGAAGACCCACGATCACGACGGTCAAGGTTCAATCGAAAAAACCTTCATGGAAAACCACAACAACGGTGAAGACAACGACAACAACTGTGAAGACAACGCAGCAGGCGGAAACGAAAGAAACGCCTTTCGTAGCCAAAATAACTTCGACAACAAAATTCGTTAACCTTCAGGATCGATCTGGTATGTCCGTTTGATTATATATAGGAAAAGTAAGCTTATATGATTTAACACAAAAAATTAAATTAATTTCAAATTAAACGTTTTAATTTGAAAAGGATTTGAAGAGAGCCAAAAAATTAAAGTATAGATTTATCAGTTTTTAGTAAGAGAAATTAGTATAGAAATAGAGAGAATTGTTAAGAATCTTACATTTTTCTTTTAAATTATCAGCCAATGTTAAAAAAAGAAAGATCAATTAATATTTAAATGCAAAGTATGTGTGTATATATATATATAACAAATAACGTATTTCGAAATAAGGCAACTTAATTATTTAAAATAATTTTTAATTATCTATATATACATATATACATTATAAAATGTAAATTCTAATGTCTAAATCTAAATTAATTCAATGATTTATGATATAATTTAAATATCCTGGTAATTTAGTAATAAATTTTTATTATTAAAATTATATTATAACTACTAACAATACTACAATATTAATGACGATGAGAAAAATTTATAGATCTACACGACAAAGAGCCAAATTCGGAGAAGATAAAACAGAACGGAGGCACCGAAGGGCTGATGATCATCATTGGAGTCGGTGCAACTCTACTTATGCTCTCCGTAATATTTATAATCGCAATTATCGTTATCAGGAGAAGGAAAACTTACAAGAGAGGAACGAGTAGTTCAGCGCTCTCGGAGGACAGCGACGTCCGTTTCTTAACATCGGACGAAATTCTCGACTTCAACTTGGCTCGACCTACTGATAACGATGAAATGTAGTCTCATGTTATCAAAATTCCACTTTTAAACGAGCTAAATAGAATTAAATTAAATTGATTAAATAATGGATTAATAAATTAATTAAGCGAATAAAATCACATAGAATACTCAAGCGAAACATAATCGCAGCTGTATTTTATTTTTATTGAGCTTCGTTGTTCAATTCTAAACGGCATAAAATTTTCAATTCTTATTTACCTTGAAGAAATTGTATGTTTCTTTAAGGTATTAAAACTATGTATATTTTTGTGAAAATAAAATGTATTATAAAATTTTTGCGCTAATAAGAAAAATAAGTATTATTCTAAATTTATATACATTATTATATTGTTATAAAAAATTCTCCAGAGAGAGCTAAGATAAATAAAGTAAAATTATATATAATAAAATAGAATTAATTTAAAATAGAACTAAATTTTTATAATTATTATTCGATATAAAATTCCATTATTATAATAAAAGAATAGATTATTTTACAAAATTTAAGATTATTATAATTTTTTCAATTATTTTCTATTTTTTTTGTAACTTTTAGATTTTGTTTTAAATCAGTATTAATACTGCTGCTATTGACGTATATCTTTATGTCTAATTCAATAAATAATTTTTTAATTATTTATTTTCATATACAGCTTTTTATTTTTATACGTGTAATTTTGGCATTTAGAGCGACCTAATTTTTCGATGATGAAGGTAACACTTGAAAGATCAACCGATAACGACATTGTGCAATGTATTTGGGAAGTTAAACACGCACCTGGGTCTGATGTCGAGCGCACGAGCGATTGATTTCACTCTGGGAATACGTCATTGCCAAAATATGTATGCCAGAGCACGTAGTTTCAATAGCGCGTCTAGACAACCGGTTGCTAGATGGACGTTTTAAGGTGTCTAGACACTCAGGTATTACGTATCTCGAGGTTCACCTCATGTGAATCGAAGGGTCGATTCACGCTGGAGGAAGGAGCGCGGTTTATAGGGTTTTGTCAAAAGGAAATTTTCTTTAATTAAGCGCACCCCCCCCCTCCCCCTCGTAAAAAAATCCGCGAGTATCCTGATACATACAACCTGATACATTATGTATGAAACTACTCTGTAGTCGCGGCGTTTTGCGGAGTTTTTGCGGTGAACTATATACACAGGTTTGCGGATGTCGTGAAATGCCGCTTTTCTCTCGGGAGAGAGTACCGAGAGAAGAATACAAAGCGAAAAGTGAATATCGAATTTAGTGCGTGCGTGCGTGGTCGATTTGCCGCGTTTGATTGTAGTTTCGGTCGGGTTTCACATTCTGCTATACACGCATGCATTTTGTTTGGATTATTATATTTATTTTGCAAAACACACATCTTGCACATGGACATTTTGCATCGAGTATGAGATATAAAGGTCTTTAAACGTCAAAGAGAAACTTTATATCTCTACATATTATTCTCAAATTCTCGTATACCTTCTCTCGAAATAATCCAGTTTTTGAATGTTGACGCGTACAACTTTTATTAAAATCCCTTTAATCTCTTTTATTAAAATCCCTTTAAATCTCTTTTTCTCTTAAGAAAAATAAAAAGGGATGAATTCTATCCTTCATATTAATAAAAAAAACTCAGAGTTTCACTCAGGATCATAAAATTTATTATTATTTATTTATTTTTTTCAATATTTCTAATTCCCGCATTATTGGGTACTTTGATATTCTTTTTTGGGAAGAAACAAAGTTAGATTATACGCTGAAGTACTCAAGAGAAGATACTTTTTGCAATTAATTTATTTATTTATATCAATATTAAGTACACACACGTGTACTCATTAGAGCCTATATTTATTCTACCGCACCGGAGATTACATCTGGAATAAATAACGCATTTATTTCTCGGAATGTAATTTGGGAGAATGGTAAAAAAAAGAGTGAACTTTGCCCCAGACAAGCTGTCTATACCTCCGGCGGAGGAAGCGTTTCTTATTAGAGCGCGAACTGAACTTCCATTTCCATGCTAATCTCCTCGCGCAAATGGCCTGTCAGTTTCCAGCGAGACAAAGTACTCGCGAGACGCGAGGGCAGGCGTCTTTCGCAAAACGCGCGCCGAGCGGTGCCGCCCTTAGCGCGGGGGGAGGGGGGAGCGTCGAAAAAATATTGGAAATACGTCGCTCGCGTAGCTCGCGGCGGCCTTCGCATCCCGGTGAAATTTCGCGCCTGCTTCGCACGTCTACTTGCGAAAGCTCGTTCGCTCTTACTCTCGGACACTTTCTACGTTCGATTGCCGAATTGTGTCGCGTGTCGTCTCCCACCGAACCGTCTCGCGCGCCAATTTTGCCCGGTATAGTGGATTTAAACTCGAGATTTGAGACCCTGTGTTTCTTCCGCGGCGGTAAGCAATAAGAAAAACAAAAAAAAAACATAGCCTTTTCAGAATTAAAATTTCAACCTCGGAACTTCAGTAAAAATTTCGATAAATTTAATTTATCGAAACGAAAGCAAATCGAAGATAATTGTGACAGCGGGAAATGTGTGGAAAAGTGATATCTTTCAGTGAGGAAACTAACAGCCCATTAATCGAGAGCCCATTTATTAAAAAAAAAAAAAAAACTCTCGCGACACATGCAATTAACTTATTAATTGATTGTTGCAAAATATATTGCAGTGATTTATTAGCATGAAGCACGGGGATCTAGAAGAGAGCGAGGACTTCATTATTCCTGTATTCATTATTTTCCTCATTATTTCTCACCGTCAGGGTTTTATGTCTCTTGCCGGTTGTATTGTCTTTGCAAAAGGACGTCGTCGCAAAAGATTATTCACACCAATCTTATTACGACCCGTAGGAGACACCCCATAATGCCGTGCGTAAATAGAATGTCAGCTATACGTCAGTGAGCTGGATCGGATCGCACCGGATCACTGTGATCGTGTTTGCGCGCATTCTCGGATAATGACGAGCGTTTTCATTGTCATTCGCCTGTCGTCGATCGCGTTTCGCATAGGCGCGTGTGTGGCCGCGTGCGTGCCAATGATTACGTGTATGTGTCAGATCGCACGTAACGAGCAACCGGGCGCGATTGCGTGCGGCAGAAGCACGTGTACCATTGAAAGGCGCCCACGTGGGACGCACACGCCGCGCCGCGCCGCGCCGCGAAGAAAGAATGGAAAATTCGTTGCGCAGTCCCTCGCTTTCTCTCCCCTGTCTACTCCTGTGCCTCTCCCTATCCCTCTCCCTATTTCTTTCCCTCCGTTGCTCTACTTGTTGCAGCCGACATTATGGCGTACATTATTGCCGCCCGTCACGTCGCAGGGTTGATAAATCGTAGCGACGTCCGCGTCGCTGTTCCTGTTTTACCTTCCCTGTTTTTCTTTCACTTCCGCGAATCGAATTCGCCGTGGATCGCCAAGTTCTGTCTATATAAGGCCCATCTAGAGATCAAGATTGCTAGTAATGGATTACTCTTTCATGATCACTTTTCCAGATTTCCAGCAACTCGAAGAGGTTTCCGCGGAGAGAGAGAGAGAGAGAGAGAGATTTTCTGCAAATGTGAAAACGATTGCGGGCACTAAACACGATGTTCTAAAGAGACATTTCACAGAAAAAAAATTAGCCTTAAATCAAGATAAATATTTTCGTATATGAGCAAGACTATTAATCTTCTTAAAAATTTCTAAAAGTTTTGAGTTGACTGGATTTGATACACGTGTTTTGCTCAACTTCAAGATTAAAAATCTTCTATATGAAGATTATAATATTCTTGCTTACACATCTATATTTGCATTAATATAAATTTAGTCAAATCCAAATTAAAATGTTTCTAAGAAGATTATAATATTTTTTATATATGAGAATATCTTGATTTGAAGATTAATTTTTTTTTTCTAAACACCATTACAGAAATGTATGATTAAACATTTTTACATCTCAATATAAATTTAACTTCACTAATTTTAGATATATTTATACATCGACGTATCCAGAATTTTTTGGGGAGAAAAAGGATCAATTCTGTCCACACTTGAACAATCTTTTTGCATTAATGAATTGCTTTTTCGGATATTTTAGAATTTAGAATATCTTTTTGTTCCTAATTTTGAACAAGAAAAATATTAGATTTTAGATAAATTATAACTCTAATTTTCATCATAACTTTAACTTTTTTTTAATTTTGAGAAGTTTAAACTTCCTCAAATCTTTCTTTCTGGATACGTCCACATAATTATATAATATAATTAATCGCCAAACATGTACAGCCGGCTCGTTGGAGTTCATTTATTTATATACTTCATGGAGATTCGGCCGCAGAGAGATATCGCGACTTATTTTTTTTCATTTCCTGATTGAAACTCATTCTTCAATGGAAAATTATTCTTTTACGGGGAACAAAAAAGTACAAAGAAAATTAGTATACGATGAGGAAAAAGGTTGAGGTCATGCTTTGATTATGTTATAAAACGGAGATATTTTATTTGAGGAAGGATTAGCTACGTTAGTAGAGCTACCAGCTCGTTTCTCTTTTCATTTAAAAGAAGTTTCATGAAGTTCTCACATAACTACGAGTTGGCCGAGCTGTAATTCTGGACAAGCTCTTGTTGCTATCGTGATGCGTGCAGCGATGCTGCCCGAGTATTACAATAGGTTTAATAGTTCTAAACCCAATGTTAAGCCACTTGGTCTTGGTGTCGTAGGTAGGAGAGGTGGCTCGGAGTTGGCGTTTATACCGACGAGGTAGGCAGGTCGGTATAAAATCGAACGATTCCTCGATCAAAGTCACAGTTCGGGCCTGTCCTCGCGGTGTATCATCACCATAATTCCTACCGTGTATTATCGCACTGAGACGCAAGGTAAGCGCCGAAACCGGTTTCCCAATATCAAACCCCCCCTCCCCCCCCCCCCCACCAGGGATCCCACCAGGGAAAGTACGCGAAATTCTCTGCACGCATCCTCTGCACTTTTTCCTGCATCCTGTGTCGTCGCGGTTTCGATTTTTGATGAGCAAGAGATGACACGCGCGCGGGAAATGCGTTTTACACAAATTAAGTTACATGCATGAGTGGTGTTTCTATAAAAAAAATTATCGTTGAACATATACTTTCTTGGCGTTACATCCGAGAGAGACGCGTAGTGTAAATCATTACTAATTGACTTAGAAAATATATCTGTAATTAATTTATTTAATTTTCAATGCTTGGAATAGCTGCGTGTGCATTTATTTGAACATAAGCGATTTTATATATTATTTATGTTGGGTATTTTTATAAATCTTCTCATATCGTTTGGAAAAATTGACAGGTATATGTGACAGGAATATAGGATATTTATTTTTCATGGACAGATGCATCGCGTTAGTGTTACCATCATCGCTACTATTTGTTTCCTCGTACTGATAGTAAAGGCGGAAGAGGCTGTCCAACAGAATCAACAATCGTTGGACCTGAGAAATGTCGCTATCGAAGATCAGGCGGACAGCGGTGCGACGCACATCAGAGAAAAGAGAACATTGCTTTTGAAGAAGAAGCTGCTCGGCGCTGGTCTTCTCGGATTCGGTCTTGGCGTCGCAAAAGGGTGACATATTTATGATTTATAACCTTTTTCCAAAATTAAAATTTTACTTCCTTTATTTTTACTTTAATCATTAAATTAAATTGTTTCAATTTACAAGAAAGCAAGATTTGAATATGCCATTTGTGTTACTCCTTTACGAAGAATGTAATGTCATTTTTTTTCTTTTTAAAGCCAAGAGACGTTCCTGGTGCAAAATTATATCAGCATTACATTACGCCAAATTAATTTTTCTATGTAGCTCGATAAATATATATTGTTGATGTATTTCTTTTTTATTTTTAGTTACAAAGCTGGTTACTACAGCGCACCGGAAGTCCATCACGTTTACCTTTCTCCACCGGTGAAGTACGTAGAGTACGTGGAGAAACCCGTTTATATCGAGAGAATTGTTCCAAAACCCATTTACAAACCGCATGCCGAGTATGCTGCGCCAGTTTGGTCGCAACCAGACCCATCTTACGGGTGAGTAAAATTGATTGCTCTTCGGCTCTTTCTAATAATTAGAATCATTAGGACACGATCCTTCTTATATATATGAAAATGAAATTTAATTGAAAAATTCAATTTGAAAAATTCAAAATTATCTAGTCTTTATAAATTTTGGCTTAAATTTAAATTTTTAATAAATATTGAAAATAGCTTTAATAAGTTTCTCAGATGTCACTATATTGAGAAATCGATATACCTGATGTCCTCGAAAAATTACTTCTGGCTATTCTTTTTAACGCTCTGATTTCTCTTATAGCGGCTGGTAGATCTGGAATACAGTTCGCATTAATAACATCGTATCAGTCTGATCTCCTTTTACCTCGGAAATTTTAGGAACAGCCAAAAATTACGCATGCATCATGTTGAGTCTCAGTCAGGTCATCCAACTTTAAATATAGGCATAAGATTATCTAGATTATCTATTATAGTAATAAAAAAAATTGTTATTTTTGTTACTGATGTTACAGATTAATAAATAACGATTACTAAATATATATTGAAAGCGTATTCAACATTAAAATTATTTAGACCTCTTATTTTTGTTAAAATAATGTGAATATTTAATTTTTAATTATTTTATCTGAAAACTTTTATATGCAGAATAACGAAAAGAATCAATTTACATAAAAAAATCATATAAATCTTAAAAAAATTTATCTGACTTTGACATGACCTTTGGAAAGACATTCAAGGTTAATAAAAGACTACTATTTTATATTTTTTCAAAACTATAAGAGCAACTTTTGCTTAACGTATTTTTTTTGGAAAATGCGTTAGTTTTTAGGTATTTTATTCTTAATAAAGAATGAAATATCGTGTATAAACGCTATAATTAATATTGGACAGTTATATTTTGTCTAAGATATCATCTTTAGTATGTTGCCTCAAGTTCTGAAAAATAAAAAAGATTGGAATTTGAAGGTTACTTGTAAGCAGTTAATTACATAATACTATATCGTTAATTCTAATTTATTTTCTTTAATGAGAATTCTATTCAAATTACAATTTGTAAATTATGAAACTGCATCTGACTGTCATTGATACTTTCTCCAGAATAAATTATTGAAAGAAGAGGGAGAGGGGGGGTCTGCACACGTGAGAGATATAAAATAGACAGTTCTACGGCCGTGTGATTATCTTTATTGCCGAAGATGTTACCGAGTAACATTGAAGTATTAATAACGATTATATAATCGCACGATGCGTCTGCGAAATATACAAATATTCAACCGTCGCCATCGATTACTATGCTATGTATTTAGATATTCTTCCGATAACATCTTTTAACATGTAACATTCATACATGTACAATTAAGTTCTCTTCTATTCATACAGTCAGATATAGGTGTAGAAACGATGGCCAGTAGCGTAGCGAATATTCCGCCATTTTAAGTACTCAACAGAGGGACATGAGTCCACGTATTGATGTTAAATATGCCTATAAATATCAGAACGTATGAAAATCCACAATTTTTCCATCGATGATTTTAACCATTCGCGACAGTTGTAACTTAAGGGTTTTCTTTGACGTATTTATGGTTTATACATAAATATTCTATTAATCACTTTTTAGTTAAATAGACAGCTATTTGCTTGTTGATAAATGATGAATAGCGTGTAAAAAAATGTGTAGACCAATTAAGTGTTTTTGGTATCACACCATTTGTTATCATTTAATTGTTCATGAGTGAGCGTTTAATGTATATTTGCTACGCCACAAATGATAACAAATGATCTTTGTGTCAAACGAATTGACAGGCATCCTTATGAAAAATCAATTGTGCTTTTACTTCGACTCGATTTGAATAATTCTATTATTATTAATATTTTATTCATTTCTTTATATATTATAATGACGAATGAATAGAATTAAATGGTATTTCAAATAGTTAAAAGTTTCTGAGGAAAATATAACAATTAGGTAGAAGAATACCTGCTCTTTTTAGCTTATTCTTCTTAATTAATTTTAATAAAATTAATTAAAATTTTAATCAACCCTTTAACTCATCATTAGTGTTTTACTTTCTTGCCATGTCTTATATTCTGTATTTTATGTTCATTGGTAAAGGACAGAGGATGGTCTTAAAAGCTTAGAAAATTGGAGAAAAATGTTAATGTCAAAAAATTTAAAGTATGGCTGAAAATATAAAGTATCGAGTGGGAAATCATAAGAGGATGAAAATCGACAAGTAGTCATTCGAGTGATCTTTTAAAAATTATTATACGATCTGTTCGTATGCAATTCAAGGATGCCTGTCGTAATGAAATTATTTCGAGGTACGAGCTACTTATACCTATTACATTTCTAACATTAGTGGAGTTACTACGTAACTACACGAATTACATCGAGGTACGTATATCCGTTGAGTACGTTGGGTCTGGCCACGTATATACGCGTTTTGCGCACACGTTTTTCGTAAGCTGTAAGAATATTTTGTGAATAACCCGATCTTTATTCGCGAGAGCATTGTGCGGAGTTGCCAGTTGGGGGTTCTTTCTTTCTCGCGAGCTACGGACAGCTCGCGAGAATTAGTTATCGCGAGTGACTGTTGTTATTACGATGACATGTTAAAAAATGCGATTTTTATATTTCTTTAACGATTGTCGTCCGGATTAGCGCCGACTGCGTCGAAGCTGATCTTAGAAAAAGATCGAATAGTACTCTATTGAATAAACAGGAGGGCTCGTCGAGAAGCTAACCAAATTCGACGAGCACCATTTGATTCGAGACCCATAAGACCGCGGATGAGAACGAAAGGGGAATCCTCTATCGCTCAAGGAATCCTCTTTTGATTCGGGAAAATGGCTTGTATAACGTTTCTAATCGACTTATCATACTCGCTACGACGAATAATACATATATTCATGGAGGAGTACACAGCGTGTGCCTGTTTCGCTCCTTTTTCGCGCATTTATTATTGTACATAGGATACAGTCAGAAGCTTGTGATCAACATCGTATACGTATTTGTTATTTGTTACTTGTTATATGGATGCAAAATTATTGAGATCGTCACGTACGGCGGCGCTGATTATAATTGCTGGATTGAATCTCGAGAGGCAAGCAGACGAATAATGTTAACTCTTGCGAGTTGTTCGAAGAATTTAAAAAAGATACTGCCCCCCAATGCGTGCAGTCAAATTTTGTTTGTGCCGGGGGATGGGATCAATTAAAAATTCATTAGAAATAATGCCGGATCTAACGAAGATGAAGTTAAAAACATGAAGTAACATGTGTGTCATGAATGTGACAGTTATTAATTCTTAATAACTATTCATCAAGTAAATTATGCAAATATGCTGAATAGACAATGACTTTAAATATAAGGTACTTTAAAGAGAGCGGAACAGTGTTAATGTCACGATCGACGCGATATTTTAGATTAGTAGAAAGCTGCTAAATATTCGAGTATTATTTGCAAGTTGCATTATCCGGATATTTTCAGAATAAAATTGAAATGGAATTCCGTTTTGAAGGTGGTCAACTTACCCGCGGATACTTTACGGATATTTATTGTATTAAAAATATATCCGAGAATTTCAGTCTACATAAAAGCAAAACATAAATTTATCTTGCAGCTCTGCTTTGACGAAGCTAGTTAGCAGAACAATCCGACTCTCGCGCTATGGTTAAAAAATAACAATACCAAACAATACCAAAGAGATGAAAGATTAGTGCAATGGAGATTGTCGTCCGCGATAAAAGGATACTTTTGCTATCCTCTATTATCAACCATTCTGTGTCTGAGGATCGTATTCATCGTCGTCCAGACGATTTCAATTTTCTATTTTTGTTTAATCTACCATTGTTTGTATTTCTTTCTTTTTAAACGACGTTAAATCGATCGTAACGAAGCGCCTTGATTATAATATATTTTAAAGAAGTTTTAAAAATTTATACATTTTTCAATATTTAATTACAATATAATATCCCCGTTATAACTTTTTATTTTTTCTCTCTTTCATATGTATTGTCAAATGTTAAAAATTATTAATCTTTCATTGATCTTAATTCAATGCAGACATTTTTTTCGTATCAAAAAAAAAGACGAAAAATTTTACTTTCGTTAAAATAAGGATAGATTTTTTTTTTTTTTAATAATATTAATATAATTGATTAGATGAACGCTTGTTTCATGCAAATCAAAATACAAATTAAACGAGAAGTTATTTTATAATAGAAAATAAAAATATTTTTACTTTTTATAAAATTTGGTAATCGAATTGTTTCATGCGCGACTCTATATCTAGCCAGACATCAATTTACAAGTCGCATTTAAATTAAATCGGAATGTACAGAAAGCAATAAAGAATGAAAAGCTTTATCGAGCGACTGTACTTCCATTTCGACAAAAATAAAATACGTCCTTTAGTCAGAGCACGTCGTTCGAAGGGATGTCGATCGAAGTATCGTCCATTACTTGACGATCACTTGGCGATCTCCGGATATCGTTTATATCGTACTCCGTCATCCGCATATGCTTGGTATGACATTACCAGCGATTTTACGATCATAAGGTAAGAACCCGTGCCGCATAGCAATCTCTCACTTGGCGCGAGAACGTACAAGAAAGTTCTTTTCACGTCGGCCTATCTTATGTCATGTTCGTGACTCGACGCGAGATTGATTTTCGCTCGACCGCAGGAAATTTTCTAAACGAATTGGATAAGCTGGTCTACATAATTCCGTCGACAATCCTTTCGATCCGTATGGCTTTGAGAGAATCCTCAACACAAACGTTTCAAAGATACCACAACAATTTCAGCTCCGTAGTCTTATAATAATTTACAGATTGTCCCACAACTATCATCATTATCGCAAATCACAATTAATAGTTTTTTGTTTAAATGACTAGGTTTTACAATTTAAATTGTCCTCTTTGTCTAATTTTAAATTTTATGACTGACTTTATTTTTATGAAATTTTGATGTAAGCATTGATCGTAAAAATAATTAATATTAAATGATAAAATGCATTTAAATTTTTAGCAAAACATTTTCAGTCAAGGAATTATAACTCGAAATATATTACATCATAAATATTCGATATTTTTTAAGTAAAAAAAATTGGGAAAAGTATATAGGATGTACTTCGAGATTATAATTGTGCTTTCTGTTTGCGGGTAAAATCTTTATTCGTTTGTGAATAAAATCTTTATCTATTCATGGTTAAAATATTTGTTCATTGCACAATGCCCACGTTTTTAAAGATATTTTTCGTCAATCCATCGCTATCATAAAACCCGCATACAATAGAAAACTGAATTCCTTCAGCCATCACATCATTAGGCCGGAAATAACAATATTATATATAATCATATATATATATATACTTACGTATCTGCTGACGAAGTACTTTTCTGTTGCCATAATCGCAAGATGATAGTTAATTAGTTAATTACCAGGAAGGTAATTAATTACTTCCTATATAACTTTTCCTCGCTTGATATAATCCATCAATCGATTGCATCATGAATTGGATAAAGAGTAGTT